AGTTCCTGTATTGCTTTGTGCACCATTCCCAGTCAAAAACTAACTTAAACCTTAGCCTAAGTTTAGAGCTGCCTATAACATTTACTCAATCCTGGCTGGAATTTTTAATAAACTCTCCAATGTAAATCTTAAAGGATTATCTATAATTTGCACTGAGTTTGGATGTTTTTGTTGCAGCATTTTTTATGTTTATTCAGCAGCTGTAGAATATATTTCAAGTATAGTATCTAAAACCAGTTCAATTCAAGTGAGTTGCCTTCACTCCAAACAACCAAATCATTTGTGGCAGAGGACATAATCAAGATACATGACTGCAGAAGAAGGGAAAAAAGAGCAAGTAGTATCAAGAATGAAACCAGAAATGACACAGAGATTATGAACAGTGGAGGGGTCTGAAGAGACACACAAGAAGCAATAGTAGCATAAATATTTTTGGTGTCTTTCACTTCATTCAATGCAATGTACTGGCATTTCTTAACTGAATTTTTACTTTTATAGAAATAAATACTTTATTACATAAAACATTTTTGTGTGCTTGGGTTTTACACTATTGTTTTGTTTGATTTGTTCTAAATCAGAGGAAAATGAAGAAAAATATCACCTGCATACTTTTTATTGAAAAGTGTAGAAAGTTTTGTCCTGGTTCTCTGAAAGTGATTCTTACTGTACTATATTATAGCATATTAAATCTATTGCATTTTATTAAGTTATTCTATTAAAAAGAAGAGAAAATATGTGAAAACAATTAATTTTCAGGCAACAATTTTGAGTATTTTATATTTATTGATTTGTAATATATTTAGTATAAGCTATGGTTTGTAATATGTTTTAATTTGATTTAAAAATGAAGGTTCATTTTATCTAGGATAAGTTTTTATAAACTTTATCCAGGGAATGTTCTACCAAACTTCTACCTATCATGAAGTATCAAATTTAGAAACTCCAAAAATACTGATCGTGCATTGCCCTCTGCAAGTAGGCTTTTTGTATGTTCTCAATAATGCAAAATACATATTATCTAGCCTGCTTCATAAAAATTTTAATTAGAGGAGGCACATTCCTAGATCTGCTTCTGAGAAATCTGTAAAAAAAAAAAAAAAGCCCTGTGAAAACTGAATTAGTAAAATGAATAGCGAATTACAATGCTGGACATCAGAAGTGACTCCTGATTGAAGTCAAGTGCAGAAACGGAGTACATGGAAGTTAAAAGAAAGAATGAATGACCTGGGAGAAATTCAGAACATGTGAAAATAGAATTTGGGAGTGTTGTGGTTTGAGCCTACTCTGCAGCTAAATGCCACACAGTCGCTCACCCACCCTCCCCCCACTTGGGAATGGGGAGGGAATCGGAGGGACAAAGGGAGACTCGCAGGTTGAGAGAAAAACAGTTTAATAACAGTAACAGAACAACACACTGACAGCAGTATCACCAGGTAATGTACAATACAGCTGCTCACCACCCACCAACCAACACCCACCTGCTCCCGGCCTGCGATCCCCAACACAAAGGCACCACAGCAACACTCCCAGAAGTGAGAGCCCCTCCTGGCCCACTCCTGCCTTTATATAGTGAGCACAATGTCACATGACATGGGATATCGGCCAATCGGGGCCCAGCCCTCCAGCTGTGCTCCCCCCGCCCCCGCACACAGGTGAGGGCACTGGGACCTGGGGAGCCCTTGGGGTCTCAGGGTGCTGCAGCTCCTCCCGCTGCCAGACCAACAGGAACTCTAGTCCAGCCTCGACCAGGGCAGGGAGTCCCAAAAGTTGGGTGCAGATGAAGTTAGCAAAGGTTGTGATGGGAAAGAAGGGCTTCTATAATTACCTTGACAGCAAAAAGAAAACTATGGAAAACTTTCATCCACTGTTCAATAAAGCTTTCTTTGGCTTAGTTTGTCTTTCTTTTTTACCATGGTCTGCTTTCAGGCCTCCCAAGTCCCACCGTCTAGTGGCAGGATCTGTGGGGTATCACTCACAAAACAGGAAGATGTACTCTAGGCTGCAGTTAAGAGAACTGGAAATACACAAGTCCTTGGGACCAGAGAGGTTATGTTCAAGGAACAATGAATAAAGGAATGCAGCAATGTCCCTGAAAGGCCACTTTCTTATCTATAACAGATCGTGGTAATTGCAGGAGGTTTCTGAAGACTGGAAAAGTCAATTTCCATGTCCACCCTCAAGAAGGAAGATGTGGGTAACTATAGACTGTTTTGCCTCACCAAGAAGATTATGGAGCAAATTTGCTTAGAAGCTACATGCTGAATCACTACAGACAGTGAGGATAATAAGAAACTGGAACAGACTGCCAGGAGAGGAACCTCCACAAATGACGACATTTAAAAACTAACTGGGTATGACCTTCAATGGCCTAATCTAACCTTGGACTTGACCCTGCTTTGAGCAGGGGGAATTGAATCAGACTCTAGAAGGTCTCTTTCAAATTAAATTATATTCTACGATTGTAATGGCCAGAGTCAACACAAGGAGCTTTATCTGTGCTTGTCCAGCCACATCTGTCTAAAACAACATAGAATAAACACTATTAAAAAAAAAAAAAAAAAAAAAAAAAAAAACCAACAGAAAATACAGAACACTCTTCACTTTATTTTGTTTCATGTGACAAAATTCTAGTTTATTCAGAACATGATCTTTTAAATTCTACATAATTCAGCAGGTTTTTTTGCTAGTTGAGATTTTTTCTTTTAACTGCAGACCACAATGAAGTAGAAAATCAAATGTAAAGTTGTCTGAAGGTTTATTAGAAAATCTAAATAAGATTTTGGCTATTATTTCATGGTCAATCTTCTTATTAAGGTATCTTTCTACCTCCAGAGGACTTAGACATACTGTAGAATCAAAATGAAAAATGTGAAATTAAATTTATTGCTTAAAGTGGGCATACAAATATGAACAGCTATTTTAAAAACAGTAGGGGAAATGAACCAAACTAATAAAAAACCTTACAGTTTCCTCTGTCTCCTCTACAAACTATGCACATTACTGAAATACTCAAAATAGACAAAAAATATACTGGTAAAAAATACCTAATAAGCATCTAATAAGTATTTTTTCTGACAGTTTAAGAATGTAGATTCAGATGTTGAATTTATTTTTTTTCACCTCATCTGTGTTGAAAAATGTGAAAAGCAGAAATAGGCCAAGTAACTGTCAAGAAGGAACAATAAAATTCTCATTATTTCTGAAAAAATCTTTTTATTTGATTTCAGAAATGTACAGGGATGTAAAATTGGACACAAATTAGAAGGCCTTATATTATTATGCCTCCAGTTTTCTTTTTGATGGGAGGCACCTCAAGGCAAATGTTGCAGCTCTGGAAAACTATAAATGCAGATGGACAGAAGGACAGAAGTTTAATATTATTCCCTCTGCACTTGATACATCCATAAAGGAAAGATCTTGGTGATTTATATAAAAATGGCATCAGATCACAACTATCAGGGGTGCATAAAGTGCCAGATGCATAATACATTTAATATGGCAAAAAGCTTGGAACACAGGAGTTGTCTCAGTTGCCAAGTCAGCGGGTAGAAATTACTGAGGATGTAGTTGTCATCTGGGAACCTGAGTATATGAAGGCAAGGGAGAAACAGGAAAAAATGGCAGCTCTTAGAAGATAGGAGGGTAGAAACAAAGTCTTAAGAATTAAAAATGCAGAAAGAAGAGGAGAAAGATTTCTACATTTATTAGAGCTATTAATCTAAAAAGAGAAAGATTTCTATGTTTATTATAGCTACTATTCTGAAACCAAGTGGACTCCGTTTCTTCTGTGCTGCAAACTATCTAGATCAATCTGTTACTGCTTGTTAAGTGGAATTATTTTCTCATTTATTACAACTATTAGAACAATTTAAATATTTTAATGAAGGTTTCTGTCTGGTTTTACTGTTTAGTATTTGAACAATAGCTTTGGCTTTGCAGTCTGGCATAGTGTGCCTTTTTTAAAATCATTATTATGAGAGCTGGAACACAGAATATCCAACTTTTCTGTAAAATAGAAAAAGAATAGTCTCTGTGTCCATCCTCACTTAGGGTAAAAGAAACTTTGTAAGGTCCAAGTTGCCAAGATGACCTCGTAGTATTCCTCTACACCAGAAAGTCAATTTAGAGTTCAGAAATATGTAGCCTGTTTTTTGGTTTTCCGGTTGGGGAACTGTAGTCCAGTTCTGAACTTAGTACCCCAGCAGAGAAACCAGGGCACAAGCAAGGAATAGGTCACCCATAGTCTGCAGCCTTACATAGAGTTCAAATGCAAAAAGACTTTCTAACCTGGAAACTCAGAAGTATTGTCTGCATTTTAATCTAAACATTGGGATTGGATTTTTATTTGCATGCACTACATCAAAGGCTATAGCTAAAACAAAAATCTCAATTAAAAATCACTATTTTAAGCTCTAATTATAATCCAAAACCAAACATAGTTTCATATATACTGGCTGCATTAATACTATATAATTTTACAGAATTTCAGAAATTATAATGTCATTAGAATCTTTATACTAATAATTATCATTAAAACTATTTAAGATGGTTTTCAATTCATTCAAAGGCACACGTCATGGGAAGTCACTGTTCAGTATTAAGACACAAATAAGTGTCTGAGAGACTCTGTATGACAGAGTTATCAGAGTATCACAATCTTAAACTAAAAATGACTGTGTTCAGTGTAGCTGTACAGCACCTCATTTCAGAAATTTTCATTCTCCTCACATAAGACCAGCATCACAGCAGGGAGAAATGCTTGGAACACTCATGATATATTTGCTAGTTGAGTGTTCATCAAACTTTTGAAATCTATACAAAAAAAAAAACACCTTCAAAGGCCCAACCTTCAAACACCACCTTTTGCCACCACTTACATTAGTGGTACTTAAAGCAAGAGGGAAGCAGGCATGAGGGGCCACAGAAAACACTGTTCTAAGAAATAAGCGTACCCAAAACATGTACTTTTGCAGTTCCATTATCTTATGGTTATGTCCTACCTATGTGCAGGTATCTTGCGATTCCCAGCAATCAGGATAACGTCACAGAGCTGCTGTTGCTTCAGGTAGCTCTCCATCTTTCTGAAGGTTTGCTCTGCATGGTGAACAGCCTGGTAGAATTCCTCGGAGCTACATGAATCCATGTCGCAGTGGGGTGGCAAGGGGTGGCTGGCTCCTGACAGTCTGTAAAGCACAAGAAAAACTACATGTTGATCAGATGTGACCAGGTATCTAGACTTCATTGTTCTAGATTCTGATATAAGCAATAAATGCATCCTTTCCAGTTCTCATCACCGGAAGTACAACATAGAAAAATCTCACCATGCAGGGAGAGACAACTGAAATTTTACGTCTGTTAACACTAAAATGAATTTTTTTTAGCATAGACGCAGAAGTAATCCATTTCCTTCTTTGATAAATTTACAAAAAATATAAATATGAACTACAAAGAGCAATTCAGTATATCTATGTTAAATTTAATAGTATATTTATGTCTTCATTATTAAACTATGATTGGGCTCTATTTTTTTTTAGCGTAATAGAGCAAAATTATTTTACAGAATTAAACAATTTTTATTTATTTTTCTTAAATGTAAACATGAGCACACAAAGATATAATGGAAAAAGCAATCCTATCTTCGCACTGATTCTACGAGTGCCTACTCTAGTTCACTTCTTCAAATTCACATTAATTTTACACCACCTGGGAAAGAAAAATAAAACTCTAATTGACTTAATTTGTAACTAATTTGGAATATTTTCATAATGATAAACTACATACCTACTTTTTAACCAAAAGGTTCATTAATAAAAACTTAGTTTAGCCTACAAAGATAATGATATCTACAGTTCAAAAAATCAGAAAAGAAAAAAGAAAATAGAAACAGGATAAAAATGCAAATATTTTTCACTATATAGCCATATATTCTTAGCCCAAATTTTATTAGTTCAGCATTTCTTGTCAGAATTTTACTGGAAATAAGAAAATTTTCAGCAAGTACTGGCTCTTTGGGAAACTAATACTAGTATTTCCAGATAATTCACAATAAAGATGATATTCTCTTCATTTACAAATATGTAATGAGATTGTTTCGAATGAAAGCCATAAGATTTTATATATCTTGTGGTGCTGAAAATGAAGGACTTCACAGATGAAGCTGATTATAGTTTTTACTTCAACTAGATACATACAAAAGAGCTTACATAGTCAACAGAAGAGCAACAGAGGCCATGTTTTAGTTCAGCTTATCAAATAATAATATAAATTATTTCAAATCAATCTCATTTTATGTATCTCCTGTTAAAAGTTAAATATTAAGGATCACATAAGAAATTTTGATAATTTACAGTAACAGTACAACAGTTTCATTACATAAGGTTTTAATTCAGTAGGTACTATACTCTAAGAATTATATTAATAGACCTATCAGATAATGCAATCTGCACTGTTGGTGATGGAAAAAATTGAGAAGTGCATAAAGATAATAATTTTTAAAAGCAGGTAGCAAAATTAAATAAATTTATCTGAAAAAATAAAAAAAAAATGTTATTTGATGCTATGTGTATGCTGGTAAGGTTACAATATGTGTGAGCCTGTGTATAGGAAACCAAACTGGCAAAAATTTATTAATCACGATTCTTCAAAATGAAAGGAACAGTTCCTTAATTCTGTTATAGTCAATCTTTTTATATAGTCAAGTACGTTATGCTAGATATCTCTTGCAAACTCCTCCTAAAGGATAAAATAAACATATTAATTCTATGAGTGACATAATCTCCTTACGTGTTCTTATCCAGTCTGGACTGACAACCATGCTGAACAGAAAGCCAAGTTTATTTTCACATCTTTGGATCACCAACAAATACTTTCACGTAAAACCATAATGATGGAGCTAAGCTCATTAGTATGGTTAGTGGGTAGATACTTCAGTTCTTTTCTTTCATTTGCTTTTTTCCTCACTTTGACTGTATCCCGATGCAGATGTCCTTAGTTTTATTGCCGAAGAATTAGAATGATAAGTAATTTGCAAGTAATAAATCAGTGCCTAATAGATGAGGTTGCTAAACAGACACATTTATTCCTTTCTTCCAGGGAATTTAGAATTGACAACAACCACAGTTCTGAGAAACTTATTTTTTGTATCTTGAAGGATACAGGAAGCGGAGACCTTACAAGTACAAAACCCTGCAAGCAGGCATCAGGTGCTTATAAATCTACACAATGAATCAGCCTCCTGAAAGGAGCTAAGACATTCTTCTTGAAAATAGAAACCAGGAAAGATGTCACAGCAGACCTCAGTTTTTACATACATATGCAATTGAAGAACAACCAAAAAGCACAACCACCTTTCCTCAAGTTACTGTCAGTAGTACTCTGTTTCAAGACTCAAGGAAGCCTCCTTCATTAAAGTATGACCCAGATGCTCTGCTTTCATTCCCTCTTTCCTTTTACTATTGGAGAGGTAAAAGACACTGTCTCATATGACACCCTTGTCTCTTGAGAGACATGGATCTGATGGATGGACCACCTGGTGGATAAGGAATTGGCTGGATGGTCACACTCAAAGATTTGTGGTCAACAGGTTGATGTCCAAGTGGAGAGCAGTGATTAGTGGAGCTCCTCAGAGGTCAGTACTGGGACCAGTACTGTTTAACATCTTTGTTGGTGACATGGACAGTGGGATTGAGTGCACTTTCAGCACGTTTTATGATGACACCAAGCTGTGTGATGCGGTCGACACGTTGGAGGGATGGAATACCATTCAGAGGGACCTGGACAGGCTGGAGAGGTGGGCCCATGCAAACCTCATGAAGTTCAACAAGGCCAAGTGCAAGGTCCTGCACATAGGTCGAGGCAATTCCAAGCATAAATACAGGCTGGGAAATGAGTAGAGTGAGTGCAGCCCTGAGGGAAAGGACTTGGGAGTGTTACTGGACGAAAAACTGACTATGAACCACCAGTGTGCACTTGCAGTCCAGAAAGCCAACTGTATCTGGGCTGCAGCATGAGAAGTATAGCTAGCACATCAAGGGAGGTGATTCTCCCCCTCTACTCCACTCTAGTGAGACCCCACCCGGAATACTGTGTCCAGCTCTGGGGGCCCCAACATAAGATTGACAAGGACCTGCTCGAATGGGTCCAGAGGACCATGAAGATGTTCAGGGGGCTGGAACACCTTCCATATGAGAACAGGCTGAGAGAGTTGCTATTGTTCAGCCTAGAGAAGGCTCCAGGGAGACCTTATAGTGGACTTCAAATAATTAAAGAGGCCCTACAGAAAAGATGGAACACATCTTTTTACAAGGGCATGTAGTGATAGGCCAAAGGGTAACAGCTTTAAATTGAAAGAGGGTAGATTTAGATTAGATATAAGGAAGAAGTTCTTCACTGTGAGGGTGGTGAGGCACTGGGAGAGGTTACCCAGAGAAGTTGTGGCTGCCCTTTCCCTGGAAGTGTTCAAGGCCAGGTTGGATGAGGCTTTGAGCAACATGGTCTAGTGGAAAGTGTTCCTGCCTCAGGCAACGGGGTTTGAACTAGATGACCTTTATGGTCCCTTCTAACACCAACGTTTCTATGATTATAAGTAGAAAAAATTCCTACTCTGAGGAATCAGCTCAGTGTCAAACCCGAAGTAAGATTATTTCTTCCTCACATAGGCATTATTTTCTCTTCCCTCCCCAGTATCACCAAAATCATTGCCCTTATTCACAATGCATTTTCAGTTAATGAAGATTCTGACTCCAAGCAGGAATAATAAATAAATAAATCTCTGCCACTGCACAAATTAAATCACTTATATTTGTGAGACTGCTTGCATCTCATTTAACAACAACAAAAAAAGTAAATAAATGTTGATTTATGGTCTTCCAAGCCTCTTGTGGCAGATGAATACAGAAAACAGGAAAGTGTCCTGCATTTGCCACAGGCATTCATAATGCATTCACAGTACATTCATACTTTAATTACCCAATTGGTAATACAATGGGGAAACACGTTCTCCATTATGACAGACTGTTATCATAAAACTTTAACAATTCACTGACACTTTTATTATTTCAAATTGTAAAAATATTATAATAAATGTAACTGTATTATATTGACTTGATTTTCTGATTTTTATCATTAAAATAATAAATATTAAATAGTTTACTTCCCTATACATGATGAAATCAAGAGGATGGTTTCAGACTTTAATATAACTAGGAGTTGACATCAGATAGTATTTGAATTCAGAAGTAATGCACATAACTTATGGTTTTATCACCATTCATCATTTATGCCCATACTTCCACACAAAGTGAGATTTTTACAAATAGACATTGAAGACTATACATTCAGAAACTGCTGAAGCAAACACCACACAGGAGTCTCCTTTAATATACTATGGAAAGAAAGCTCCCATATCTTTGAGGCAGGTCTGCCTGTAAATCCGTTAGCTGCTGCTATCAGTGTAATTCTCCAACAATTGCCACTTCATAAACTTCATAAAACCAGTGCCAGTGCCACTGACATAACAGCCCTCTTCTACATTAGACCCATAACTACTCTAGGAATAATGAAACTTCTTATATAAAAGAGCAGTGCTGGATTTACTAGTGAGATGGCTAAGAGAGAGAGAGGGAGAAAAAAAAAAAAACGGAAAGAAAGAGAAGAGGTGCAGGGCATGCTTCATGTTATGTGACAGGAGAAAGGCTTTTCCACTCCAGCCCCAGCCAACCCCTTTACAGCTGATTTCACTTCCTTCCTTACAGCAGTGCTGTATTTTCTGAATGAATGGCTTGCATTATGCCTAAGAGAGATGCTAGTGCCGTGTTAACTATCTTGTCACGACAAATAGCCATATCTATATGGATAAACTAAGTAAATTATCTGACACAGTTACTCATTCAGAGTGTGTGCACAAATATAGGCAAGGATGCAGATGCAGATCTCTCTTTTATTAAGAAACATGTATTTCCAGCATTTAATTTATGATATAGGCACTTTATGTAAACATAAATCATATATGTGAATGATGGTAATGGCATACAAAAAAGGACAAGTAAGTATTTTATTACTATTGCATTTAGCATACATTTCAATAAGATTTCAGTGTGTTACTGTATTACGTGCTGATATTCTACAGCATAGGTAGTATGTCAAAGCTTAAAATACTCTATGACTGCAATGGAAATCAAGTCAA